CCCCCCCCCCCCCAAAAAAAAAATAAAAATATTACCCCTTTGGATCAAGTCAGCAGCTTCGCATTTAGATTCCACAACTTACGCTTTTTTCTCGTCTCTTCAACGTTTTTAGAGATTGTAAGCTAAAATCGTGGAGGCCTTTCCACATTTATCCCGATGGATGAAAAAAATTATAAAGTTGTGGGCGGAGACTGCTACTGGTGAAGGTCCATTGAAAATAATAATAATACCTATTTTCAAAATATTTCCACAACTTAATCTTTTCTACGTCTTTCCTGTTTTGTAATCCTCTCAACTTCGAAGCCTTGCCATATTTCCTAGACATTTCCCTTAGGCCCTTTCTCAGTTTTAAGACGTTAACCAACCTCTGGAATAAATATTAAGATAAAATGATTTTCAGCAAGTTATCTAATTATATTGTGACGCAAACAGTGCAACTTTTCAGTCGTAGGTGCTTTGACCCTTTTTTTCTGGAAATGGGTTCAAACAAGTGCAAATACATGACATCATCGCTCCGGGGAATTTTTTTGGAAAGCCGACAGGTGGACGCGTGAAAATGTGAAAGCTTAGAAGATTCTGCACCCCTGCTGTTACAATTTAAAAGATTGAACGCACCATTAACAGGGGCGTAGACTAAGAGAAAGTATTACATAATTTCGCGTTTTGAGATCAATGTTTTAAAAATTTTTAGAGGAGCCTCCCTGCATTCTCAGAGGGAATCGGTCACCAGGTGAGGGCTGGCCCAGGATTAAAATGAACAAAAATTGATTGATGATTTGGCATTTTCGGACCCCTCATTGGATATCTCCTCCAGGACTGTGAGAACATTTGTATGAAGTTGACCTAACTTCCACTAATCATCATTAATTATAAATTACAAAAGAGCCCATTTCGCCTTGAGTTAGAATGAAAAAATAGGAATAAAAAGAAGAGGAAAACTATTTCCTGGGCGAATGTAGCTAGATTAGGTAAAAGAGGAACTTACAACATGAGTCTCAAGTTGGATTGTCAATTTTGAAGTGTTGCAATTCAGGCGGTTTCTCCGTCCAAGCCCCCAATTGACTCTTCCTCAGTTTCCATGCACACTGATAAGCTTCTGCTGCTTGCTTGCAATCAAAATATGTTTGACTTTTGAATTTCTCACCAGTTAGAGAGATGAATTTTTGGAATAAACTTTTCCTGCATACGAGCAAATAATCATTTTTAGCTCCTTTGGTTGCACCTTGCTTCTTCCCGTCCACCCCAATTTCCAATGGCCTGAATGAATATGTAAAGGGATAACATAGGGGTTAAACGATCATGATAAATATGGGAACAGAAGAGAAATATTAGTTAAATGAAGGAGAATAAGCCCCGCAAAAAAAGTAAAAGCTAGTTTCTAAATGACGATGCTGATGACACATTGTTGCCAGAATTGTAGCTTTAGTTGGCAATAGCCTACTGCAGCAGAGCAGTTACACATTAACATTAAGTTTACTTGCAGTGCAATGAGTGTTATCTACACTAAATGAGAACGCAAGATCTAATTTGGAATCGAAACTCAACTGAAAAAGATAAAGTAGAATAAGTAACTTCAGTTCTGTAGTCAAGAGGCAAACAAATGTATTCGGATCATTGCCGTTTTGATACTAAGCAAATCTATTAACATAATATTGTCTGTGCTTTCTGTTCCAACCAGCAATCAGTGAAAATAACACACTTATGTTTACTTCTTTTTTGAGTGCTTTATTAGAGTCTATCTGTTGGAATTTAATTCCCACAAAGAATAGAAATCAAGTCATAAAGGCCTAGGTAAATGGACGTATTTATGCTAAAAGAACTATGTTACATACAAATCCTATGTACATAGTTCCTTTCAACATAAATACGATCGGCCCGACAAAGGATGAGTGGTTACGTTTCTTCGGCTCTGACCAACTGGGCTATATATTCATAGGTGCCCCACACATCCGGTCAACTTTTATAGTAGTCTTGTCAATCTGTGCTGTTATTGGCTGAATTTCTGAGAAGAATGAAGCAAGACGGGTTCCTTTGTAGTCTTGGTCACTGAATCCGAATCTACCAACAAAAATTTTGACCGGAAATGGCCTGAAAGCTTTGTACTAAACGAGGATATCTGTTTGCTAACATTTAGATTCAATTTTATGAAAAAAATTTGCTTCAAAGTTGGTTTCTATCCAAAACTAACGTTTAAGCAGAATTGATTCCGTGGTTCGTGAGCCATACGGCAGCACAGCTTGAAATATCAAGCCACTGCCTTCCAACGATTTACCTATGACAATTCCTGAATAACACTCGAACCCCATGAATTAGTTTTGCACTAAGATGGCATAAACAAACAGGGTGTCTCAAAAGTCTTCCATCCCTTCGAAAATTCCCTAAATTACCTAATTGATATTTTAAAACGAGACTTTGGGGATGTTCATCAATCAATGTTAGCTACTTTTGCCCCTCCCCCCCCCCCTTGGGAAGGGGCCGGCTGTGGACCCCAACTTTTTTTTAAATGGCAACCCCCGCTTTGTGACACATTGATCAAATGAAAAGGATAATATAAGAAAATTTTGGCGCAAACCGCAAGTTAAAATCTTATTTTTGACAAAATGGCGGCTGATCAAAGTTCAAAATAACGGAAGTTTTTGTTGACAGATTGGGACGAAAACTGGTTTCCGGAGGTTTCTTGGGACGAGAAAAACGAATCTGGCATTATTTTTCCAGAAAATTCTGTCCTCCTCAATAATGCGGCGGTCAAGATGGCGACCTAGAGCGGTAAGGGAATATTTTCACTGTTTATCGGTGGATTTGCATGAAACTTAGCATTCGGGGGTATTTTGGCATGAGGAAAACGAATTGGAATTCTCATCGGATGTATTAAATTCTGAATGACTTCACAATGGCGTCGGAAAAATACCGAAAACTTGGTATTACGGACATTTACGATTGCGTTCGCATGTAACTCGGGGTCCTGTTGATTTCTGGTTCGACAAAAATGACTCTCTTGCTTTACGTTTCTGAAATGTTAAATACTTTCAAAATGGCGGCCGAGGTAGATGCGAGTCCAACCATTAATGTCCGTAATAGGTACCAAGTATACGCCATTTTTCCGGTGCCATTTTGAAGATATTCAGAATTTCTAAATTCCAATTCGTTTTTCTCGTGCCGATATACCCCCGAATACCAAGTTTCATGCAAATCCATCGATAAACAGCCTAAATATTCCCTTACCGCTCTACGTCGCCATTTTGACCGCCGCCATTTTTGAGGACAGAATTTTCCGAAAAACTAATGCCAGAATCGTTTTTCTCGTTCCATAAAACCTCCGGAAACCATAATACGTCCCAATCCGTCAACAAAAACAGAAGTATTAAACTTCCATTATTTTGAACTTTGATCGGCCACCATTTTGTCAAAAATTAAGATTTTAACTTGCAGTTTGCGCCGATTTTTTTTTTTATCCTCTTTCGATTGATGTGTCACAAAGGGGGGGGGGTTGCCATTTGAAAAAAAAGTTGGGGTCCGCAAGCCCATCTCCATGGGGGGGGGGGCGAACATTTTGAGGGTCTGTCATAGAGAAAGAAACTTCTCAGATATAAAATTAAACTTTAGTGAGCTCATAATGTTTTTCCTTCACAATTTATATTTACCCATTTAGTTTTTACTCAGGAGATGTTATTTTTCATGGAATATGATACCTTTAAGCTATCATGGGTGGCGGTAGCCACCTCCCGACAAAGTCTAAACTCCACAACAATGGAAAAAACAAAAAGGTGGAAGCCAAGCAAAGACACACATAACTCCCTTAATCTGAAAATTGATTTGATGTATAATGGAATTCAGAGCAAAGGGCTGCACGGATTCCAACGATCTTTGGTATCCATGGACACAGCTAAGTTACGCGGAAGGCGAGTAAGGGTTTCATGAAGATCCAATGAGTTTTCAAAAAGTTATAAGCACCTAAAGGTCCGAAACAACGAAAATTTGTCTTAATATGGGGTTGTTTGGCGGCAAAATTTGAATTTCAGGGCTCCGATAAAGTTACTCCGATTCCGGGATAACGGTAAACCCTGGACCCACAAAAGTGGGTACCTGAAGAATCGTCATGTTACCGTGTGTGCCGCTTTTGACTTTTTTTTGACATCCGGAATGTTATAGAGGAGAAACCTCTTAAAATACAACCAATCTGACTGAAACACACCCAACATGACCACCTTTCACAACAGACTTATCGCTTACTCGTTTGCCGATGCTAATGGAACCTGGGTCATTCCACGTCAACGCAAGCAAGCTCGAAACCCGACCCCCTCCGATTTGGCTGAAAATTGGTATACGGGGTCTTTACATCATTCTAAGAAACTAATTTTTTGAAGGGTTTTCCCATCCGATGCCCCGTTCGCGAGATATCGACCCCCAAAGATGAGGTGAATTTTAGCGATATTCAAAAAAGCCCGTTTTAGCGATTCTCATTTTCTCGACTTTCCTCTCTTTGACCCTCTGTAGCGAGACTCTGTATCAATCAATCATACTTTGAAAGAGTGTTTCTAGACCTATTTTTCCTGTAAATTCTGAATATACCATCAAAATTGAGCTAAAAATTATTTAAATGGCCGTAATTTAGAGTTTTTCAAAATTTACGATTTTTTCGCCATTCAATGTTCAAACTGCATTATCTAAAAAACAGTCTCTCCGATTTTCGATTTTTTTTTTTTATACTTCAAGCTTAGGATATATACTTCTGGTTAATATACTTTTTTCAATTGCTATCGGACGGTTAAGGGTCTAAAAAAATTCAAATAGGCCAAAAAAGGCCAAAAATTGGTAAAAAAGGACGATTTTTCACACGTTAATCCAAATATTTAGATAATGAACTCTTCAATTATCGATATTTTGTCCCACTTTACCCTCTGACATGTATAAAAACGGACTATCAACGCTTTCCATACATGCACCGATCGATTAACGGCCTGATGTAAACTGGGAACCGACCGAAAATCCTCGAAATTGGCGCAAAAAGACGATTTATCACACCGTAACCGATACATTCCATGGATTGTAACTGCAATTTCCAATTTTCTCTCTCCATTTCAACCTTAAGGTGTATACTTTCGAGTAATAAACCCTTACTAACGTGCATCGATGGGGCACGGATCCAAACGGAAATGAAAACCGGCCGGAAATGCTCAAAAATGACGGGAAAAGGCGATTTATTGCATAGTCAGGGGAGCATGTGTTCGAAAATTACGTCCCGTTTGCACGTTTGTGATGCAAGTTTACTCTCTTCATTTTGGTCCCTAGGATGAGAAAATCTTTGGTGGACTCTCCGATTTTGATGCCAAGGCCCCTAAAACAAGATGGCGGCCAAAGTGGAGGCTGAAATTGAAATTTTGGTAAAACGGCACAAAACGTGAAGAGAGGTGTCGATTCTCGGTTTTTTGGATCGTAGATTCCAGAAAAATTGTCATACAGACCCATCGACCCACGGAAATGCCCAAAATCCAAGATGGCGGCCGATTTTGGCTCTTTAGTGGCTAAAACGTCAAATGCGGAGCAAAGAGAGGAGGAAACACTCTAGATATCTGTTTTCGAAGTCACAGATTCCAAAAAAATTGGCCTCCGGCCAATTTATGCGCGGCGCTACGCGCCGGCATTTGGGGGGCTTCGCCCCCCCATCCGCTTAGCGGATTAGTGCGGGGACCGCACGGGACTTTCCCGCTCGAGGCGGCGCTTCGCGCCGGCATAGACACTTTTACTGGAATATTTAGAAAAATACTGCCAATTTTACAAAATCATAAAGTTTGATTGGAATTTTGATCACAGGATAATAGTTATGAAATTTTTATTCAAACCACTGAACTTTATTGTAAATGTCTTCGCGATATGTGATGAATTCATATATTCGGCCTCGACTTGTTGATTTTATGAGGCATCTTCAATTAAATATGTAATTGATTAACAAAGTCTCCTGTCAAAGATGGCGATCCGTAAAAATCTTAGCTTTTCTACGATTCATTAGGATCCATTAGATTCATTGACATCATACTTCAGATACGATTTTATATTATAATCTCTCCTTAACCACGGTCAAAAGCCATCAAATATCTACTTGAATGGGTAGAATGACTATTCGATGTTCAAATAGTCTTAAATCTAAACGGTTTTCGCTTAGCATCTCCCAAATTTTAAATTTGGCGGGCGAATCTACCTGCTGGAAGGTTCACCACACGCCCGCCAGGAGCGCCATCTCCTTACCGCGTATCCCTGTA